CCCCAAAACCCCAAAACCCCAAAACCCCGAAATTGACGAATGATTTTATGAGTGAAAGGTTCATAATCTATCTGTAAATAAATTAAATTTGAATAAGTTGAAATTTAAATTATGAATTCAAACTCAGAAATCTTAGAACTCTAATCCTAAGCCATTCCTTTAGTGAGCTTTGATTCCAAGACTTAAAGTAGCTTCATTTAATTTACTAACTCTTTTAGAATTTAGTTTGAACCCTGATGCAGTAGAAATCATTCACACTAAATTCATGAATGGGCCATTAAAGATTATTTCAGTGATTGGAATGTATCGCACTGGCAAATCATTTCTACTCAATCAACTTATTAACTAGTCCTCACCCACTAATATCGCTCTTGATAGTTCATCTGTTAATCAGTTTAAGAGAAATGGAAGTCTGATTTAAAAGCAGGCCTCAGGCTTCTAGACTTGTGATACCATTAATTCTTGCACAAAGGGTTTGTGGATGTGGAGTGAACCAGCTAATGCATTGTCGAATTCCAACGAGCAAGTATTACTAATAGATACCGAGGGACTTGGCTCACTAGAAGAGGACTCAAATCATGATGCTAAGATATTTGCCTTAGCTCTTATGGTCAGCAGTCTTATTGTTTACAACTCAGTTGGAAGTATTGATGATGAAGCCATTCAAAGATTAGGTTTAGTAATTAAATTGTCAAAGTATGTCGATTTAGATGAATTGAGATAGACTCCCAGGCTATTATGGCTTCTAAGAGATTTCTCACTTTAATTGCAAAACGAATAAAAGGAGGAAATTACTGCTAATCAATACTTGCAATTAGCTCTCAAAGATTAGAAGGGTATTTCAGAAACTATAATGAACAAGAATAGAATTAAGTAACTAATTAAGGAATATTTTGGGAATAAAACAGATTGTCACACAATGATCAAACCTTTTATAGAAGGTACTTAAACTCAGATACTTAGGAAAGATTTCAAAGACCAATTAGAACAGCTAAAAGTATAGATAAGGAAAAGTGAGTCAAGTCAAATCATGAAAAATGGCAAAATCTTTACAAGTCTATTGTAAGAGTGTTGTGATGCGTTAAATGGAGGCAGATTCCCAAGACTCAAGACTACCTGGGATTATATAGTCCAAGAGGAGAACTAAAAACTTATGTCAGAGACTATAATGAAGTATTAAAGTCAAATATTATATGAGGGGACTGATGATGAAAGTGAGGGAATTTTGACTGTAGATGAGCTAATAGATAGTTACTTCTCCAAGTGCTATGGACTTGATGATCCAGCATAAATTAGATTCTATGAGAAATAACTAAGATCTGAGCTGTAAAAGGTAAAGAAAGAAACCAAATTTGTCAAAAAGTAACAATAGTAATCTAAATTAGAGTAAAGATGGTAATAAATTAGCTATCTGCTAGATAAAGACTGCAAAGATGTCTATTTAAATCTTAACTAAGATGAAATAGCATTAAAGATTAATACTTATCTGGCCAATGAATTACAAATACCCTCACTTGATTTTAACATGACAATACTCTAGTAGATCTGGAGCTCTGTAGTCAAGTATAAAGATCGCTAGATGTGAGAAAAAGACCAACTATCTTAGCTTCTAGGTGTGCAACTTTAGCAGCAGCGAGATGATTCTCTCTAGTTCTAATAGCAAATTAGAAATCTTAAGGAAACTCTCTTTCAAAAAGAGAAGGACCAAGCCATATTAAATTAGAAAATAGAATTCCTTAGCTTAGAATTGGAGGAAAGAAAGAAGGAAAAGCAATAGTTCAATTAAATTTAGGAGAAGCTGATTCACTCATTGCAAAATCAAGAGACACCTTCTAAGTATAGAATGGAACTGGAGACTTAGAGACATCAGGAGACTATGAAGATATAGCAGCTGGAGCATGAATTTATGAGCCAGCTCAAGGATCTAGAACAAATGAATGATGACTTAAAACATGAACTCTAACTTAAGACTGAGACTATTAGGCATTATGAGACGTCATAGAAAGATGGACTATAATTGTCAAAGAAAGAATACCAGGAGCTTACCAGATAAAGAGATGTCCTCTCAGACAAAGTGAAAGAGCTAGAAAAGAAAAACTATGAATAGCTATTAGAGAATTAGAAAGGCTTGGAGAGAATCAGGTCAGAAAAGGAAAATGAGATGCAAGAGATAGAGAGATAGTATCAAAGAGAAATGGACTAAATCAGAGAGAAAGCTGAAAATTCACTTCATCAACTAAAACAGTTCTATGTAGTAGAGAAACAGACCATTGAATAGAAATTAGTAGATGAAAAGCAAAAGAATAGTTAAAGAGCATCTTTCTATGAGTAGGAAATGCTGTCTAAACTTAAGTAAGAGTAACAATAAAAAGATGAGGTCCTGGAGTGGCTAGAGATTGAGATGAAAGATCAAGAGATAGAGTAAAAGGCTAGAATCAATAACTTAGAACAAGACTAACTCCTCTACTAGTAAAAAATTACAACTCTTGAAAAATGCTTGAATGAGACGAAGTAAAACTTAAATCAAATCTATTCCTTTAACTCTGAATTAATCAATCAACAGATGGAGAGATTTAACTAGGAAAGATCTTACATGATAGAAAAATTGGAGAGATTACAGAGTGAGGTTAGAGAAAAGGAGCGTGACTATCTAAACAGTGAGAGTTAAAAATCCAGACTCATTGAGTAACTTACTCTTATTCAAAAGGAGTATTCAGTTTTCAAATAAAAGATAGGGATAACTGAGGAAAATCAAAGAATAATGAAAGATGACTTTGATGATGAGATTAGTTAGTATAAGTATACACTTGGTGAGTATTAGAAGTAACTTGAAATCATGCAGGACAAGTATAAGTTGCTGGAGAATTATACTGAAGATCTCAAAGACCAGATCAACAGGTAGAAGTAGGAGCATGTCCATGAGTTAGATCTCAAGAAACTGAAAGTAAAAGAATGGAAAAACAAGTATGAGCAATATATATAGAAGTAAAACGAAGAAAGATTAAAGGCTAAACCTGATAATAAGTTCTTTGTTCAAGACAATAAGGAGAATATTTAGCTGCCCAATGGCATGACACCTCAACAAATGTTTAAAGCCACACAAGATGATAGAAGTTTCATTCCTGAACACATTTATATCAAGATTAGGAATATTGAAAAGAACAAGGATGGAAACATAAGCAAGTATGAGTTAGAAATTAATGATAACTAGAGTGCCAATAAATATGTTATTACCAGATCAGTTCATTAGATATTTGGTCTCTTTCTAAGGATTTAGGACTATTTTAATGATCAGTAACTTGGCAATATAGATGAACTGAAAAAGATGCTCTTGGGCTAGACAGACAAATACTGCAGTGAGGAAGTTAAAAAACTTTCGTTACAGCACTATTTAAATGAGATATACAGAGATACTGAAAAGGTGTCACAGTCTAGCGAACTTAAGGCTTTTCTATAGCTACATAAATTCTGTGGACTTAAAAACCCTAATCATATAAATTAGTCACAAGGGCCCTCAATATCTAACAATTAAGATTTAATCTAGGCTCTTGGAATTACTTAATCAAGCATGATTTAAAACTCAATAGATAATATTGGTATGAGTGATAGTTAGTCATTTGTTAGTAAGATAAGCATGGCTAACTCTCAGTCCTAATTTACAACATTCGAAAGTATTGGGCCATCTAATATATAAGCCAACAAGAGATATGACTAGATTCAAACCAATGGCAAGATTGATTATCAAGAACTAGATAGGCTTTTGAGTAATAAAAATACCACGAATTTGTTTAGATGAAATATTGATTTAATTTTCATCATTTATTAAACCATTGATTTTCAATAAAATGAATATTCCTGGGGTTTTGGGGTTTTGGGG